CCCCCCCCCCATCCCCGTATTTCAGGCAGCAGGCTTTGACCCTGGGTCAACCAGGCCTGAGAAGGGTGCAATGCCCCAGAAGAAAACCTGAAATACTCCATAAGAATTTAATCAACATGACAATGAGAATCAAATTCGAGTCTGCAGCGTGCTGCGGCGGGGTGCTTTATTAACCGTAGCACCACATCGCTATGAAAGTTGTAACGTATTGCACAATCTAATGGTAATAATATTGTTGTTTCTCATTATAGCGCAACACTCAGGCCGCAGATGATCCTGTGAATGTGGATGATGTAGCCCGCTCTCACACGCGGATGTTTCTGGACAATCCCACACTCGACATGTTTGTTGTGGCTCAGAAGCAGGTATGTATCTTGACACTCAGTGTGGTTGTCAGCAAGATTTGATTTGGAGCATAAGTAGTGATATAAATTTACTGCTCGTACGATGCCATGGTAATGTGACCATTTTCAAGTTTTCATCTCAATAATATTCATATTTGCAAATTAATGTTAATAAGTATAATAATTATAAGTCAGGGCGAAGATGTTAAAAGTAAGTTTTTTGTGGGTTATTTTTTCAGGAAGCGTGGATGGGGGCGAAAATCTTTTAATTCAGTATTAGTCTGGCATCTTTCACTTGCTTCTCATGTGGTTGACGGGTGTTTTGATGCAGCATGCCTCTTCTTCGTATTATTGTTCTCAGATATTCCACTGACAAATGGCAGTTATCGTGCAGACTTACCGTTTACTATAACTCTATAAATGATAGTTTTGGTAAATGCTCAGATCAAGAATTAAGTCATATTCTGTTCCCATTTGTTTTCATATCAAAATCAATGAATGTGCTACTTCACAGATCCACCAACTGATGCGTCGTGACAGTTATGTGAGATTCGTCAAGTCTGATTTGTACAAGAACAAGTTAATGGAGGAAATGGAGGATAAACCTGGACAGACTGGCGATCAGGGTGACGGTCTGAAGGAGCCAGTAGGTCGGGTGGCCAGCTGGGCCGTACACGTGGACAAACTACTTCAGGACCCAGTCGGTGTTGAAGTCTTTTCGGTAGGTTCCTTATATCCCTTTATGATGTTTACTTTTATTTTATCCTTTTTCAAAATCCACACTCCAATCACTTTAAAGAAAGAAAAAAAATACATGCAAAAAAATAAATTTGAATGAATGAATGAATGAATGAATGAATGAATGAATGAATGAATGAATGAATGAATGAATGAACAAGCATACAAGAAAACTAATGAGCAAACGAACAATCGGACTAACTAACAACAATATTGAACAAATGTATATACTGACAATTTTGGAAACTACTACTATATTCTTATGAGTCTGGATGTCTTACTCAATTATTCTTCTTTTTTTTAACTTTAATTCTCTTTTACAGACTTTGGTAGAAAGTTGTCCTTTCTATATTTTTCTCCGAAATATTTATGTTAAGTTGGAGTTTTTCTCTACTCGTATTATTAACTTTATTACTATCATGATCTTCGGTATTACTTTTATCTTTAGGAATTCTTGAAGAAAGAGTTTAGCGAAGAGAACATCTTGTTTTGGAAGGCGTGTGAGCAGTACCGTCAACTGACAAGTGACTCTGAGGTAAGTTTAGAATAATATTTTGATAGACGAATTCTGCTCTTTAACTGAAGGATTTTAAGATGTACCGTATTGCTACCAACTACCAAGATGTTGGCTCTTAAAAGTACAAGTAGACACATTGGTATCAGTGTTAGCTGATAGAATCATCTTGGCTGTAACTTGCAACTTTTATTTTCAAATCGATACTCTGAAGAAGTAACAAAGTCTGTAGTACAATTTTGAACTATACTGACACTTTTTGCTTTAATATTTTAAAAAAAAAATTTTTTTGAGGAAGGGGGGGGGGGTGGTCTGCTATTTAAAGGTGAATGAAAATGGAATAAAAGAGAACCAACTGTACTTAGCAACAATAGTTGATAATGTAATAGTAGCTGTTGAAGTTTTATGTTCCTTTAGACAAAAATACAAGTCACTTCGAAGATGGAGCTTTTGGACCTTCACAGTCACAGTGGAAATAATTATCAGAGGAAATATTCCCACAAGATAAAACAAGTGCATGTACCTTGGTCTCTGTTCGAATCCGAATTTTGAAGGTCCATAAGGGAGATCAATTTTTTTAAACATTAGATAAGTTAGTTTAGGCCCCCATCGACACCTGTCAACACTAACCAGAATTGAGAGGGATGCAATACCCCAGAACAAAGTCGGAGAAAATCGAATTCAAGTCTAAAGCGTGATACGGCGGGTTGCTTAACGGCTGCATTACAGACATCGCTATCAATCAATGTCGTAATGTTTTGCACTATGTAATGATAATAACATCACCATGATCTTAATATTATTATTTTCTTTTATTAATGAGTATTTTGTTTCTCATTATAGCGCAACGCTCAGGCCGGAGTCATCTATGGCCGCTTTTTGTCCCCCACGGCAGATGATCCCGTGAATGTGGATGGTGCAGCCCGCTCTCACACGCGGACGTTTCTGGACAATCCCACAGTCGTTATGTTTGATGTGGCTCAGAAGCAGGTACGTATCAGGACACTTAGTGCGGTTGTCAGCAAGAGTTGATCTTGTGACACTAGTTGAAATTATTTATACTTACTGCAAGTATCATCTTATGGAAATATGACTACTTTCAAGTTAGTCCAATTACAAAATAGACATATTATTATTATGTTAGCATTTGCTAATAAGGAAATGTTTTTTCGAACTTAAAAGTACTTGTATTTTTTTAAGAGTAACATTTTTTCCCCTCAAATTTCCCAACACAAAATAGCAGTTACCGACTAACCGTTTGCCATAACTCAACAAATGCCAGTTTTTTGGTACATGCACATATAAAGGAGTCGTCATCTGTCCTTATTTGTCTTTATCTCCTACAAATATATGTTGTTTTACAGGTATATCAACTGATGCGTCGTGACAGTTATGTGAGATTCGTCAAGTCTGATTTGTACAAGAACAAGTTAATGGAGGAAATGGAGGGTAAACCTCTGCAAGGACAGATGCAAGACAAACTACCAGAAGAAAAAAGGGAAGAGAATAGAGTGAGTATATATTTGAAGTTATTATTTTTGTTGTTTGCTTTTGTTTTGTTTTTGTTTGTTTGTTTGTGGCTTTTTTGTTTATTTTTTGGGGAAGGGGGGGGGGGCGGTTGTATCAGCATTATCTCTTTATTGATTTAGGTGATAGTATTTTCTTCCTAGTGGTATGTAAAAACTATTTGGTCTTTGGTTTTGCAGAAAGTGAAAGCAGTTTTGAAGGGATAACCGTAATACTGCGTTTTATTTATTTATTTATTTATTTATTTATTTATTTATTTATTTATTTATTTATTTATTTATTTATTTATTTATTTATTTATTTATTTATTTATTTATTTATTTATTTATTTATTTATTTATTTATTTATTAGCTTGTCTGGCTAAATTAAGATCCATTGCATGAAGAGATAGAGAATGTATGACCTACAGCTGGTGCTGCTGTTTGCTCGTATAACTGTCAGCTGGGCTCACAAGCTCTTTGTGTAAATCTGAAACTCTGATCTGGTCTATACTATGAGCTAATTTTTTCTCCCTGTCTGAATCCTCATATGTTTTATGGGTTATTAAATGAGTTTTCTGTGATAGGGTTGTGTAATTGAGTCCAGCCGTTTTCTCAGATACCTGTTAGCTAAGTTCACAAGTCTTATAATTTCCTTTTGTCTAATTCAAAAACTCCAAGCTAGTCTGTACTATGAACTATTCTTAAGGGGTGGGGGGAGGCAACACCCCCAAAGTCCCGATTCGGCTCAAAATTATGGAATTTGAGTTGTAGACATTTCTAGCTTCCTCAGCCTCTCCTACAACTATTTCATTGCATTACCCCCCCAAAAAACAAAAAAAAACAACAACAACAACAACAACAACAAAAATGATGTCTTCCCATACCAGGCATGTTTGTCACCACAGTTTCCTCATAGAGTCAATATTTTATATTTCTTTATCGGCTGTTTTCTCAAAACGAGATTTTTCTCTGTATTTTTTTTTTTAAATAACTCCACCAGTTTTCATCCAATCTTCTTGAAATTTTCATAGAATGAAGAAAAGGTGTAATACTAAAAATTGTCAGTTGATTTTTAATATGTGGTATAGATTTTTGTTGGTGGTGTCTTGAGTGTGGATTTTCACGGATTTTTTGCAAATTTGAATACTACCTCAGGGAAAAAAAATCATTAAAAATGTTCTAATTCGGTTAGGAAAAAGAAAACAGACAATTTTTTTAATCTAATGTTTGTTAACACGTATTTCAAAGAACAAATAATTTCCATAAGCAATAAGTGCGGTATTCATTACGTAAGACATGTCAACAAAATCCAATATGGCCGCCGTATCCATGGAAACGAAACTCTTTGTGCACAAATTTGATTGCAGATTTTAAGACTCCTTACTATGCTTGTTATATGTGTGAAATTTGGTAAAATTTAAAGAAAATCTCTCCCTACATACTCATAAATGTCATAGTTTATCAAATAAATCTTTATCTGGTGGTGATGTTGTGAATTTGAAATCACCATTGTTAATTTGACAATTTTTTTCTTTATCAGGGTCGCAAATATAGAGCTTCTTCGGGCATATTGACACTTCTGAAAAGATTCGGACTAAAGGATGCGCGTAAAAGAAGCAAGAGGAAAGGTGGTGTTCAGCCGTGATGAGTGTCTGACTACTTCGGTATCAACTCCGCAAACCGTAATCGCTGGTCATCGCTTGACCACACCCAGCTGACAACAAGGGGACCTCTCCGTTCTCAGCACACCGGCATTCGGGGACGGGAAGCGTTTTCGGACCCTACCTCTGATGTCACATACATTTGTGATTGTTCAGAGAGATTTTGAGCCCTCTGAGTACTATGGGGGCCCACAACGTGCTACTTTGGCAAGCACGATAATTGACTCTCATTGTGTGATCACCCGGGGATTCTGTCGGTCTCTGGGAGTCTTTGACTGTAAGCAGGACTCCCAACTGGACGTCTGTCCCCGCTTGTTCACGAGGACTTGATTCAGTTAGTACTACTGCCCCACGGTTTGAACAGAAGTCCCACCAGCAGTAACGTATTATCCGCAAAGCTTCAGGACCTCCCTCACTTTTGTCCTCACTTGTTTACAACCATCTGAATGGTGTCGTAATTTTCCAGTAAGTTAACATGTCACAGGAGCTTTGTTGTAAAAATAACATGGCACATGTGAATTCCATAGGTTACCAAAGAAGAATGTTTGACTACAATCATTTCATTTGTATTTGTACCTCTGTCATGGTGTATAAATAAAAGATGAGCGATGGCTGAAAAATTATATTGTTTTCCTCTTACTTCATTGTTTTCATGTATGTGTGTCTGTCACTCGGTTAAACGCCTTCTTTCCTTTCAGGCTTCTCTCATTCTCCTCTCCCTTTGATTTCACTTCCTCTCTCCTTCGTTTATAACCAAGCCCAAGAACATGCACATAGTGCAATTTTTTTGTAAGTATATGAAAGGACAAAAAAACACCTCATAATCACAGAAGAGAGGGAGATTGCGGCTCTGGGGGGCAAACATGGTACGAAATCGCCTCAGAATATTATCTTTCTGTTGGTTATTACCAGTATGAAAATAGACAAATAAATGAAAGTGGTATTTCCCCCATCGGCACAATTCGGATTATTTGGGAATCGGATTATTTGGGAAGCAGGTTTTGGCGTTGCGTATCTGGACAAATTAGGGCCGAGAGCAGATATTTAACGTTCCAGAAGAAATACAGAGGGTACTCGATAAAAATCCTCCCCACACATGGGAATCTAACTCGTGGTTTCTGTCTGCGACGTCGAGACGTCTAACAGCTACACCACAAACGTCAGAACCAGTGGTACTAATAAATAATGATAAATAATAAATACCGTTCGTATAATACGTATCCCAACCCAAAAAGCAAACCCTATGCGCTTTACTTTACACTATATGTATAGACATTTTTGTAATGTCTTAGCATGAACAGCTCTGTAGCAAGTTATCAATATTTTTAGTCGCCGTTTCGTAGACGGTATACTTAGCAAGTTTTCTTATACCCTGGATTCAGAGATCACCGAAACCGACAGATGCGCCTGAAAATGGTTGTGGTGTAAACTGAGCCACTTTTGACCTGATGTATTGCATTTTGTTCATCGGTTGTTAGTTGAATACTGCACAATTTCCCTGGCACCACTGGACAATTTTTCCTTCTGTGTGGGAGGGATTCGGCTTGACACATTAATCTATGATGGGGTCGCACTTAAAATGTCGTCTTCTGTGTGTACTAGGGACTTTTGAAAAAGCAAAAAAATATGTATATCCCCCAAACAAAACTACCAACAAACCAACCAGCCGTCCGACCGACCAACCAACCAACCAACCAACCAACCAACCAACCAACCAACCAACCAACCAACCAATCAACCAACCAACCAATCAAACAAACAAACAAATAAACAAACAAACAAAACTCAACAGTACAAACTGCTGGTTTTGGAAACCATATCAATTGTGTCATTCGTGTAATTGGTTAATAGCGAACTTTTCAACACAAAACTGTCTGGTGTATATGGAGAGAGAAATACTTTTATATTGTGTATAAAGTACAGGGTGATCAAGAAGAAGAAAAAAAAAAGTACAACTAGTTTTGTAAATATCTTCCTCCATGCTGAAGTTTTGCGTTTCAGATTTGAACCTAACATTTGGAAGCCAAAAGGAATTAGTTTGATATTCATTTTAGATCAGTCCATTAAATGATTTTGCTCTGTATAGCGCATTAAAAAAACAACCCATTATCAATCTTGTCAACATTTTCATAGCATGACGCTAAAAGTTGCAACAATCGTGTCATATTGCAAGCTACAGCAGTCTAATAAATCAACAGAAGTCTGCAGATGTTATTTTTTCCCAAATGTTGTTTGGCTGCTTAGATCATGGTTACGTTTAGTAAAGAGTAGAGAGCTTCTGGTATTGCACATTACCTCTCCACAAACTCACCATCCTTGACATTTCGTAAGTTCCGCACATGGCATGGGCAGAATGCTTAGGTGCCCTCGAGGTCTTTGGCGTCATGAGTAGAAAAGTTCCGTCAGGCTGGATCTATAGCGAATCAGAACTAAATATTAACTTTTAAAATGACCACTTTAGGTCGAACGCTCACCATGCACAGCCCTTGAGAGAGAGAGAGAGAGAGAGAGAGAGAGAGAGAGAGAGAGAGAGAGAGAGAGAGAGAGAGAGAGACGTCACCAGGGTGCAGTTTTCAGTAGTAGTCCATGAGACGTCTGCCCGCAAACGATCTGCAGCAAGGACTTCCCTACATCTCAATAGTCTGCATTCTCTTCTGTAGCATTTTCATTTTCGCTAGGCCGATATGACATGGTTCAGATCATGGCAATGTGTTCATGATTCCTCGATTGTCTGGAAAAGAGGGATCATTTCTCCGATGATATTTGGTTTAATGCAAAGTCCATTTTCACCCTACGAGATTGTTAACTCCAAAAATGCTGTCTCTTGGGCACCCCACACTCTATTGTCTCTAGACGTCATTTCATACTGAATATGTACTGCTTATGTGGTTTTAAACACTCATGGTTTAGCAGGTCCTTGTGTTTGGGGGCCATCGAACATTTCGAACGATGCGTTAAACTGTGTCGAATCCAAAGGAGAGCGCTGCTTCTAGGATTTTCAGAATGAAATCGTTAATTATTATTTTTAACTCTGTAAAAAACAAATTAAATATTGTTTAAATTCCACATTCATGGAAAATGAAATGTCAAAAATTTTCAAAGATATAAATATGCAATAGTAATAATACACCGAAAAGTAAAAGAAAAGAAAAAATTCGATTTATTTCTTAAAGCCTTCCAGCTTTGGATAAAATACTGGGACACCCCGTTAGCTCAGACATTATTGGTATCATGCTGGAATACGGATCAGATGGCCCTGTTTCAAATCCCCAACAATTTGAGAGGGAGGGAGGGGGCGGCACCTGAGAGTTATCACGCTCATTCGTGGACTGTATTCACCATAATATTTTACAAGTGTATCAAGCACAGTGTGTCTTCACTCTTCTTCAAATACGCAATAAAACTTTAGGAGAAAAGTTTCGTTGCCATGGATACGGCAGCCATATTGCATTTTACTGATGTGTCTTATACTGTCAATTAAAGGAAACATTCAGAGGTTGGTTTTTTTTTGTTTTTTTTGTATTTGTTTTGGGTTTTTTTAGGGATGTGTTAGTTAGTTAGTTAGTTAGTTAGTTAGTTAGTTAGTTAGTTAGTTAGTTAGTTTGCTTTGCTTGTTTGTTTGTTTGTTTGTTTGTTTGTTTGTTTGTTTGTAGGGTGGGGTTTCTCCTGTAAATTATTATCGGTGGCGCTAAAAAGGTTTGTGCACGACAGCAACGCTATGGAGTAATCAAAACGGAGAGCAGCATTTATTAAATATAAGAAGGGGAGCTCTGAAAGAGAGACAAACACCATAACCTCTAGACCACGATCCCGAGAGCCCCACAAAGAAAAGGAAACTAAAATCGGAGTGTGAGACGGTTGGTATTCAGAGACATATAGTGTCAGCATGTGTAGAACGCCTACAAACAACAAAATATTGACTTTTTAAATAGAAACAAAAACTTGTCATGACTTTCCCGACACTCCTAGGCAGTCAACAGGAAGGGACACAGACTTGAGTTGAACTCGGGTTGATGGAGCGTACACACATGGCATCAAGTAAAATAGAAGGAAAACGGTTAGAGCTAGGTTGGTCTTTTTATTCCCCAGATTGAATACAAGAATACATTTTACTTGCAGGCTATTAATATTTCATAGAAAACAAAAATAGTAGGAGCGGAAAAGTGCCATCATAATGTCACTGACATTTGAAAGAGGGTAAAAATAAAACTGAAAAAAAAAAGCGGAATCCGTTTTATAATCACTTCATCAAATAAATGAAATACGGGGTGCCCACTACGGCTGGATCGGGCCGATCGCCCGACTCGATCGCCTGTAACTGAAAACAAACACCTTTGTTTTGGAGGCGATCGAGTCGGGCGATCGGCTCGATCGGCCGATAGGCGCTTCAGATTGAATTCCATACCGCATTTGGGGCTCTCGTTGTCTAGAGGTACATGGGGAAACCTGACTTGCCAAAGCATATAAAGTGTGTTCGCCGTTGTAGCCCAAATTTCCCTAAGAGGATCAATTAAAAGATAAATTATTTTATTACTCAATTATGCCTTATAAATATCTGATGTGATGTCTCGTGCAAGAAAACAATGTCCACCATATCTTCAATATGAGAACAGACTATACTCTATCCGTAACCCTTGGTAATTTCCGTGTAAGAAACAGACTATTCCGAGGGCACGCGGGGCACTTGCTTGACCAACAATTGAAAATAACTTAGCGCTTGGTAACCAAGTTGGAAATGAGAACGAGTCTTGGTCTTTCTTCCGAAATATTGGACATGTACTTTTTAGTTTCCGTTGCTGACCTTTTTCAGATGGTGAAATAATGGACACATAAATGTCAGAACTTTGTCATTTTAAGGTAGCGATTTGTTGTCCACTATGGCTTTGATATACATTTTAGATAAATATTTAAAAAGAGTAGCACGCAGTTCAAAATTTGGCAAAAGATAGGCCCCATCCAGTTTGTCAAGAAGGAAATTTTTTTTTTTTTTAATGGTAGGCCTACTATGTATCGGTTTACTACTTGAAAGAAACGTTTGTCTGTTGTTTGCCCAGAAGACACAAAACGTTACGCCTTTTTTTCTTAAACAGTGAAGAAAATATTTCGAGCATACAAAGAAATGTTGGCCTATCAAGCTTAACTTCTTTTTTTTTAGGGGGGGGGGGGGGGGGGAGAGAATCTGAGTGTTTTACTGTACTCAAAAATGCCTAAGGTCATACGAGCGCGAGGGGGGCTCTCGTAACCTAGAGGTTACGGTGTTCTCCTCTCATTCAATAGATCCTCGGTTCAAATCCGGGTAAAGACGGAATATTTTCTTCTCTAAAATTGTATACTTTCACCTCCTTTCCTGCTCTCTGGCAATGTTCTGCTTTCTGCTTTTGTCTACATAAAACACCCCTGATCTTCGGGTGAGAAAGATTTACACTTAGCCTTCTCGGACAAGGGGGAAAAATCTCGGAGGTCTCTAGTGTAAATTGCGCACGTTAAAGATTCCTTGGTGGTCCAAAATCGATAATGTGTTCCGCGCGCTCACTTTATGCAGTTGTGAGTCTCGTAAAACACTTACCAAAAAAAAACCCCAAAACAACAGACAAACCAACAACTCTAAAAAAATTTTTTTTTAAAGTACTCCTTTCCTGATGGGATGTATTTAGCCTAGGCCTAGGGTGTAATTTTTTTCTTGAACATAACTTTCGCCACTTGGTGGAGGGCAGTGCCGGGTATTTAACTCCCCCCCCCCCTCCCCTCCCCCCTCCCCCCCCCCACACTCCCCGCCCCGGCCCCCTTTTTCTGCCTCCAACTCCTAACGTAATAGACGAATTTCGGTCACAGTATTTCCTCTCATCAATAAACATTCTAATGCACCCATATCATAATACACAAGTTACGTTGAACTCTTCTGCTATTATTATTTAACATGATAAGTAATTACAACGTCTATTGCGAAGCAAACAATCCACGAAACGTTATGTTTTTGCCGGAAAACGGACATGCGCATGTGCAATGGCTTGATCTCCGTCGGAATGTTTGTATGGAGACGAGAAATTACTTGGAGTTACTAACTACTCGTTGCAAAGTTCGTAGAAATTCAGAATTGTTATGCAGTGCTTCTGCAATGAAAAGATAGGAGCTACTAGGGAATGCAACAACAACTGTTTCTGAATGTGTTCTGAGCCATGAAGCTGAGAGGGGTGACGATTTTATAGTCAACAAGTACGTAATGCCAGTTATCGATAGAAAACATAGAAAATTGAGAACGAGAAATGAATTGAGAATGCATTTTATGACAACTATGAATGTACAACTGTAAGCTACTGACCTCCAATACATAGATCTAGAAAATCTATGTAGAGTTAAAGAATTCTGATAGTAGCAACAAAAAAGCCGAGTATTCGTTTTGTATGCAGTGCTTTCTTAATTTTTTGGATTGTTTTATACTTTTTCAACACTCAGACTCAAGACCAAGACTAATCATTGAGTAGAGACTTCAGAAGAGTTCATCTTCACCTCAGGGTAAACAGAGAAGATGAATTAGCCTTGATCTAGATCTAGAGGCTGCTATGAATTACAGTAGAAGGAGTAGATTCTGGGTTGGTAAGGGGGAGGGGGCAGAGATGGGAAGGGGTGATAAATTATTTGTTATTGAGCAATTGCCAAAACGTGAGACACTCTTGAGACTCAGTGGTGCAAAAAAAAATTTCTTACCAATTTGACTCTCTTTTCTGTCAGTCACAGATTGACATTTAGTGCTCATATTCCTAGAGTATTAGAGCAAGGAGATGTACGGTTTTGGAGATATGGGTCTATTGGTTTGGCAACTACTGTATTTCTTGTATGTAACAGTGATGACAAAAACAGATAAGCAGCAAGGCAAATTATAGACTTTAAATTCCATTTGTTTAGTAAACAAACACTTTGTACACTATGAACTCCATTCATAATGGTAATATGAATGGCAAGCTTTGTAACAATGACGCAGTGCACAGAACATGTCATCATTGTTATGTACAAGAAAGGATATACACATTGGACATTATCATTGACAACACATCACAATAGTGAAAGGCTGTACAAATACAGTTATCAAAGCCTCAGTACCAGAAAAACACATGTGTAAAACAATTTTTTAACTAACATGAGGCAAAAGCACAAAATCAATGGAGCTGACTTGTACATAACAGTGATGACAAACATGACTTGTACATAACAATGATGACACAATGTACAGGAAAAGACAAAAGTCTTGCCTCCAGAGATAAAAGCGCACTTTAAGAATTTAAAAAAAACAGGAGAGGTTTCTTTTGCTTTGAAACAGATACCAGGTCATATCAAAGACAGTGGACGATCACAATTATGTGGCTAATTATGACAAACAGTACTCGTAAATAACAGTGATGACAAAACATATGGGAAAAGGTAAAATCATGCCTACAAAGAACAAATTTGCACTAAGAGATACACAGATCAATAAAGGCGTATTTTGCTTCTAAATGAATCTTGCATGTATGAAATATATGTTGAAAACTTATTGATATTAGCAATTATGAAAAATATTACATAACAATGATGACACAATGACACAATGTATTGGAAAAAAGTATATCATACCAACAAAGAACAAATGTGTATTTTTGAGTTAGACAGATTAACAAGGACATGTTTGTTTATTTGTTTGAGTAAAGAGAGCACACATTACTTAAAAAATTGTTTGCTCTTAGGACAATGTAATTTCTTGTACGTTAGTCAGTCTTGTACGGCTGCATGACGACACCCCAAACGTCATCACTGAGCACAAACGCTAAATCTAAAACCACAGAAATGATCCATCTCTCGAAGTTTGTTCACACATCACACTCTTGTTCCAGGAATCCAGTGTAAACACCGCAATTTCACTAAAATATTCAACAGAGTAGCCTAAAAACACGCAAAACAGCCCAGTACGTCACATTCAACGCAAAATTCTTGTGCGTCACCGGACGCTGAAGGCAATGACTACTTTCGTTTTTCTGTTTCCCCCGTTGCTTCCGTTGTTCTGGGGCCGTGGGTAAGGGGAAGTCACTCAAGAAAACAATTATATCCGGGCACTTTTGATGACCCGTTCAAAACAAAAGTGGGCGAAATTCGGACTTCCGGCACGTCGCAAATTGACGACAATAACGGCGAATGTTAAACAGCCGACCGAAATCGTAGATCTAGGAACCTGATGTTCCTTTCGCTCATCGTGGCTTTTGAAGTATTGAATAAACGACGATAGGCAAAGAGATTTAACCAGCTACGGTGATTCTACTGAAAAATAATGGTGTTATCTGAAACACCTAGTCCGTGACGACACGACAGATGCACAAGTAATCCGAATTGTTCGTCTATTTGCAAACAAGTAAACCGATTTCTTGAGCAAGTTAACCTTTCTCAATGACAAATAACATAGGATCAAAGCACACGTAAAAAAAACACACCCAAAAATACTAAATTTTGGACATTCTTGGAAGTTTGCATTGGTGTGCTCAAAATGACACTTCAGGAATCACTAAAAAACGAACATTTTTGGCACAAAATTTACAAACTCAAGATTGTAAGGCTGACAAGGGGTCTGAAACTGCTAATGCAGGTTCTACATCCTTTATTTTAGGTGTGTATACGTTTTGGAGGAATAAATACTAATGCATCACATTTTATGCACACTAATGTGAGATGTGTGTGTTTTTCCCCACGTTTTGGCAATGGCTTTATTATGTCATGACCGAGTTTGTAGTTTACTGAACTCTGTTGCCGCAAGTTTAAAAATACAAGATCTAGATCTAGATTCTAGATTAGATATTGTAGATCAAATTTTTCCTGCCTGCCCACCAGCCAAAATTTGTATTTGTTTTGTCTTGTCTGCATTGTGGACTGTGACAGTATACAACTTTCTGTTGTGCATCTCATTTAGTCATGGCTATCTTGTCTATTATCTCTAATATTTGTTTTCCGTTTTAGAGCTTTCTCCTCTCTCATCTTCTCTAAACCCTCCTCCTCTCCTTTTCTTCTCCTCTGAACGCAAGTTGTCGAGAATCCACTACTTTGTGTTGTTTTGATATTTCTTGTTGATGCAGCATAAATTCAACGCCCTGGTCGTAACGGTCATAAATAGTAGTAAATGTGTCGTGATAATAGTTTAAACATTTGGTAAACAGTCGTAAATTAACCTGCGTACTGAGTGAGGAAGCCAGCAAGACTTTTCAGTGAACCCTAGTCGCGGTACATGACTCAGTTTTTGCCGGTCGCGATTGTGATATATATAATATTCGTTCACCTTTTCCCCCGTCCGAGAGTACGTTTCACTAGAAAAAGCGGCAGGCGGAAGTGTATGTGATACCGAGGCTCGATCAGGAAAATCTCAAGATCTACTTTCGCTTTCGTTACCACCCAGAAATTTGCCATCGATAGACTGGTAACGCAAAGTCTGAGCGTATGAGTCATGACACCCTGACTGGTTCTTGACAGTCGAAATTTTTGTTCAGGGCCCTTCCGAACGCTAAAAGCAGGTTTCATTTTTTTATATTATAATGAGAGGAAAATATTGACTGAAATACTAAAAGTCAAACAAGACCACAGTGCGACAATGACATGTTGTTGTTTTGATATATTTTACGTGTATGTGTGTGTGTATGATGTAACATGCCCCTAGAAAATTGAGAAGCCGATTTGACAGTCACCCTGTGTGCACACATTAGGTGTAAATCTAACCACCTCCCCCCACCACCACCACCACCAGGGCAGTGCTACTGACTGAAGCGTCTTTAGGCCATTCCCAGAAGGGGGATATTAAAGTTCTTATGCACAGTAAAATTGTAAATATGGGCTGATTTATCAATATGTCATGCTCATACTATGCCGGGAGGAACTGATGCTTTTTCTTTCCTCTTCTTTACTATCGTCATTTTCCTCTACTTCTTTTGTATGTTTGTCACTCTTGTGAACTGCTATTTCCGGGTTGTCTTGATAGTTGAAGCAGACTTTGTGCTGTTGAGGCTAGAGAGGTGAGCAGAGTAAGCTTGATTCCCCGTTTGGACTTCTCTGTTGACATCCATCCCTTGTCACTCATATATATGACCTTATACAGTTGCGAGCACCGTAAAAACCTCACTAAAACTAAAACTAAATCTAGCGACGAGCAAGCTTGTGATCGTCTGTCTATCTTCCATTTTGTAGACTGGACTTTGTTGTGTGTTATTTTCGTTCCATATAATTATATTATGTAATAATATATGTTATTGATGGGGCAAATGAACTCCCTTTTTCGAGCTGGTGTGGGGCTTGATTTCCTAGGTTGTAAATTTTTTTTCCAGGTAGTAAATTTTTTCAGGAAATATATTGCTGGACACCCTGCTCTTGATCTGATGAATTGTTTCTTAGTAGTAACATTAGAATATATTGTTAATGATAATGCATTTCATTTTCATTTCAGGTATTATTACTGTGGTGAACAATGTCTCTCTTCAAAACCCGTGACTGGTGGTCTGCAACGGTTGGAGAAGAGGAAGAATTTGATCATGGCTGTTTGTGTGTGGCTAATGTTGATAATGATCCCAGTGGACATGGTAAGTTAAAGGATAAATACTCGTACGAATTAGTCAAAAAGTAGTGGTTTGTAAGTTTTGATGAAATTACAGGTGGGAACAGAGAAAAAGTCCTGTTATATCAGATCCTTGTTAAATCAGAAATGCAAGGGAAGTAAGCATTTGTGGACTAATCCAGCTGTATTTGTTCATGGATAATTTCCCTTGCCACAAGTATCCACGAACAGTGGTTTTGGCCATGTGGCAGGCCTGCGCATGACACATTACGCGTGCATGTAGCTAGGCTTAGGCCTACGGCTAGATCAAAGTCTGCAGCACACCGCAGCCCCCTCTCGCTTCACATGCTGTGTGTCTTACAGTGGCGTGGCTTGCGTGGGCTTGCTCCTTCACTGCGTTAACTTTCTCTCTCTCTCTCTCTCTCTCTCTCTCTCTCTCTCTCTCTCTTACTTTTTACACATTGTTAACGAGCCTTTGTCCCGATTAGGCTCCGATGAGGCCCTGTTATTGCCAATAACTTTTGATAGAGACAAAAAAGCGTTTAAAAAAAACGGGGGATATTACTGGATCCCTGTTATTTCCGGGTCCGTTATATATGTGTCCCTGCCGCTCAATATCAGTCATATGAAGGAAATTAAATTTCAAAACTGAGTTAACATTATTTTTAAAAATTATCCCCTTTTCCCTACAATTTAAAACAAGAATGAAGTAAATATGACCATATTTGACGAAAATGTAGAACTTTTAATTGTGCCTGGTGAGGAAACATGAAAGCGAGAAAATGGCCTCAGAAGTTGAGCAAGATGTTTCCATTGCAATGGGGGGTCTTAGAATTGAGATAGAGACTTGATACTTGAAATTTAGCAGTTATCTTGGTATGCCACTACAAGGCAACACACAGAAGTAGAAAACTATTCATTCACGGAGAAAAAAACTTATGGACAAAACAAAATTTTAACGAGAATGGACTTCTCGTCAAATGCAACAAAATATTAGCATTATACAAGGTACCAGATACTAAATTTTCAAAATACCTGTATGTCAAATTCATCTGTTTCATACGAAAGGCCTATGTCTCCTGAGGATTTTGGTACCATACTTTTACCTCTCGGTCAATGTTTAAGACAATGGCAGCTGTTTCAATTTAACATAAAAATCAAATATTGCTTAAGTCGCTAACTGGCTGCAACCCCATGTTTGACAGATAATAAAAGAGTACCAAGTGCACCAAACATTTCTACATTAACAGAGTACAATCATGGTAACGAAGAAATGAAGCCTAATTTTTTTTAGACTTTGAGATCATTACAAATCAGTATTTTATTGCCTCAAACACAATGATGATCTGTCGTTATTTCAATAAAAACACAGAACGTTGTCTCAGCCGGCGTGCACCAGCCCTCACGGCAAGCAAATCAGCTCAATATTGGAGTATACTGAGTGCTCCCGGTAGTTTCACGGAAGGATTAAGCGAAATAATTCGAAGCTGTTGACTCTATTTTAATAGAAAAATAACTGGTCTTTCTATTGGTACCTTTTTTTAGCCGGTGTTTTACTCATTTCGTTTTAAAAATGATCTTTTAAAAACTTTAACGCTTTTTTCAAGGTTTTCTATCCAAACGTCAAAGGCCAAAAATAAAAGCCACGGGAAACCACACTAAAAGCTGTTACGACCTAGTTAATCATCAATCTTTCTGCAAAGCATTCGAATGCATTTTGAACTGGCCAACCTCGCATTCCGACTGCGAAGGGCTTCCCTTTCCACAGCGACTCTCCAGCTCCAAATACTCGGATATACAAACAACTTACACTATTGTAACGAAGAAAATCTGAACTTTTTCAAAGTGTTCAGCATTTGGTGTTTTATAGCGAAAGAGCAAAGAAACAGAGATCTGAATTACCCCCATTTTACCGAAACAACAAGCTCGGAAGGCCGCGAGTCGGCTTACGTGCCGTGTTTACGCTACCTAATTATACGATTGTAATAGCACCATAAACACATGAGAGCACATGCGCACACACATACAAACACTCACACGCACGCTCATACACAAAACAAACACACCAACACACATGCACGTAGACCACCTCGGTGGCCTTTTAGTAAGGGGTCCGCTTTGAGAGATCTAGAGGAAGGTTAATTAATCTTTAAAAAGCACTAAAACACAATAAAAACGAATTTTTAAAGTCAATCCAAGTGTAAAACTGAAAGATCAACAGACGATAACAGCTAGCAGAGCACGCCCACACAGTCAGCTGTTTACATTAACAAGCTTGAAGTGAGCTAGAAGTTGCCGCTTTTTCTCCGTTTTACCAATCAGAGTTGTTTACATTTCAGACCATTCATGCTCGAAAAGGGTTCAAAATCTAAAAATAGTTGCGAATGAAGAACTTTGAAGCTTTGAAGAAAAGGTCGCCATGAGGTAATGGTTCTAAGATAATTTCACAGGCACACACTAACAAAATCCAAATTCCTTTATCTCGTCGCCCAAGCTCACAGCAAACCACACTCACCTCCAAAATAATCAAAATAACATATTTATAGTCGATTATAGTTGTTTATTTTTATCTTAAATGAAGAAGAAGACTTCAAACTTTCAATAGATCCAAAAGACAAAAATTTCATGGAAAATCACTTTTTTTGCCTTTCGAGCCTCGTAGCTGATAATAGAACACTGTGTCTTTCGACTGATATTGATCGGGGAAGACAGATATAGTTGCCACTATTATTTTAATGAATTCTTTAAAACCTTCACAGTCCCAGAAACACGCTTTAAAAATTCGCATAATTTCATCAACCATTCAGCTGTCTCATAGAGGGATTTCCTTATAGTGCTGTCAAAAATGTGTGATTCATCTTATCCTGAAATATCTCTTGCACAGGTTAATCAGTATCATCCATATTTTGTATAGCAGTTTGTTTCAATTTGTCTTAACTTAATCATGTTTTCACAACAATTGAGGCTAGATTAAGCAACTTTTCTTCTTATATTTATATAAAATACTACAAAGCTCCATTTCTCTGAAAATATGATTGTTCACAGCTCTTCCCTCTTCTCACGCACATTTTGCATATGCGTCCTAAGTCACAGCTCTCCAATGATACTTTTTAGTGGCAAAACTTGATACAAGAAATTAATTTTATAGTGAACACATTTTTACGCTGAAGGTTCTCAAAACATGCTTTCAATCAAGATAGTGTCACGATTTTGTTTTTAAATGAGAGACTTGCTTTTAAAAGAAATATTGCCCAAGCTCTAAACCTTTTAAAATCTGTAGAAACCAACCACTGATCTTTTATCAGTATTTATTAAGGAATTTTCTAGAATACTGCTGAAAGGTGTTGACAAAAATATTGATCTGTTAAAGCAACTTGATACAAGTCATTGTGCAAAAGCTGGAGAGTTGGGTAGTTTAGGAAATATTTGACAATAAGTTGCTTCCGGATTTTTTGACTGTACTACAAGTATTTATATCAGTGCAGTGGCTCTTTACGTTGTTTAAATATGTTTAGTGTGCCTGGTCGAGTTGTCGAATAAAGTCGCCAGCGGTAATTAGCGCATACCACGGCGTGGCAACAAAGTCGCAGACTGCACTAAAAGTGTTTTAAAAAGATAGCCGATTGTGAGAAAAAAAAGAAAAGAAATAGAGCTGTGAAGGGATCTTTCCTTCATGGATGAATGAGGCTTTCCATTCAGTAACGAAGGGCTGTTGCTTGTCACTTGAAACAAGTCATTGAGCTTTTTATCCTCTCTTATCTTGAGTAGAAAAGGTTTAAAAGTCCTGAATATATTAGTGGGGTGAACAATTTGTATGTGTCTGTGTTAAAAATAAGTGATTATGTGCCCTTTTATGAGCTGTTCGAGCTATTTTAAGGTTTTTCAAGACCTTTGTCTTTGTATTAATTGGAAATACTATTAAATATAAGTCATTAAGTCATTAAAGTCCAAAATGAAAATGGCAGGATTGAATGCCCCAGGCTCAAAGTTACACAACTGAAGTCGTATTTTAAGCCTGCTAGTGAAATGGTCTATACTTTTTAAGCTTTTTGTTTCTGTGCCCCTCAGGCTTGTGGCTTTCTGTAATTTGCTATTGAATGATAAATGGATACAGAGGGATAGATTGATATTTAATAAGTGTCATAATATATTTTTAGCTTCTTTTCTTTTTTATCTTTTTATCATACATATCAACATTGTAAACTGTGTTCTCAGAGGTTGAGTGTCTGCTGTGTTCTTATGTGTTTTAGACAAGATCATCATCGGCAGCTTCCAGGGCATCCTGAGAATCTACAAGCCCAATCCTGCTGGGGAGAACCCCGTGGAGGATGTGGTGGTGGAACAAGCTTTCAAGCAGGCCATTCTACAGGTGGAGGTCGGCAGGTTCTCCTCGTAAGTCTCGCTCTCTAATACTGCAAAAAATTGTTTTGGCTATGAGTTGAGGATGAATTCTGCTGCCAAGATTTGTTTTGATGTTTCTTCGACGACTCAGATTCAGAATTCTTTTTTTAGTGTGCAGATACATTTTACTTTAATTTTGTTACAGATCAGAGTATTTGCAAAAGAGCGAAGTATGTGGATAAAATTTTGAATTGTTCTTTGTAAATTAAGCTCTTAATGTGCCTTTATGCATGTCTCTTTACTCTTTTCTTCTGCAGTGACTTGAATTTTCCAGGATTTTAGATTTATTTTATGTGGGTGCTTTTTTTAATTTAGGAATTTTTAGTTAAATGCTAGTTTGTTTACTATGGTTCTAGGAGGATAGAGTTACATACAGGCAATATTGTTTCAAAGATGGATGTTCTCCTGACCTCTATTGTAGGCCTCAGTTGTGTGTTAACTTTCCCAGAGTTCTTGGACTTCCGAGATCACAAAGGTGATGTTATTTCTGGCAAAGAAATTGGACAGATAAATAAAGGAGGATGCTGCATTCCTTCTTAAGGAACAGCGTGGCTTGATGGGTTAATAATATTCTTCATTTTACATGTCTCTTTCATCAGAGCTTCTGAGGTCCTGAAACTGGCGGTGTTGCATCCAAGGAAGCTTGCAGTATACAATGTTTCTGGTGAGAACTTTGTCTTTGAGGTGAAATGGTAGAGGATATTTAATTTCTGTATACTGGTAACTGACATGTTCTGGGGGTGGGGGGGTATATGTAAAATTTAAACTGATTTATGATTTGTATAAGAGCAGTCTTTTCAAGAGGATTTTTTTTTTGGATCAGGTAAATGCTGTAGCTCGTGTTATCTATTTCCTAGTAACACAAATTGTTGTATGCTCATGAGAGAGATCAGATCATGTACAGCATCATCGAAGTGTTGCCTGGTTGAGATTTATGCCAACTGTGAATAGCTTTTATAGCTTCTTGCTTTCTTCTGCATGGGTTACATGACCTTTTTCTGCCTTTTTTTTACAGCCATCTCAGGCACAGTGGAGCATGGGAGTCAGTATCAGTTTGCCCTGCTCTACGAACACAATCTTCAGAGAACAGCCTTCAATTTCTGCTATGGATGTTTTGGAGGAGTCAAAGGTGTGCTGTCATTTTTAAAAATATTGTTTACAGTGTGAGGTACATAAAGGAACATGTTTTGTACTTTTAATTTAACTCACTGACTATGGTTTCCGTCACTGGTGGTCGGTTCGCTGGTACGGATTCCGCACCCTTAATAGGATGGAATTTGTGGATGTGTTCCGAAAACTGTGCTTCCGTCACATGTACGCAAATGGACTCCAGTGCTAGTTTTACCACTTGTTTCATTTTGTGCCAAGTTTTGCAGAAGTTGCAAGGTAACTTTTTAACTCTTCATGTCTGGTGAGCCAGTGGGAGCGGCTCTGCGTGAAGCGAGTTTGGCCGGCGAGCCACTCACAGCGGCTCGCTACACTAGCCTTCATTAAATACACGCGAAAGTAACATTTCACGACATCAACTGAAATTATGGTCGCAAATCCCGAAAAAAGAGGTCTTTTTCTGTTTGTACTTTCATTTTGTAGCGTTTGTGCGAATTGTGGGCACGTATGCTAGATTTGATGGCTTGTTTCCCAACAGCTGATCTTCTGTGTCTAATTTGTTTGTGTTGGTTAGGGAGATCATCATGGCTGAAGATTGCTTCTGAAATAATTATAGTGACAGTTTTATTGTTTGGATTATACTGGGACAAAATTTTCATTCAATTTGGATATCATAAATCTAGATCTAGATGTTGGATCTTGCCAAAGCTCTATTCATCATAATATGTAGGCCTATGTGAATGTGACTTTTTTATATGTGTTCATTGTTGGCCTGCACCTTATCTTACACCTGGATACTTCAAAGAATTACTCAAAACTACTTTGAAAATTTGTATAAAGACACAGTTTTCATTTTTAGGTATATTCAAACAAAACTATAAATGTAAGTTTTTGATTTATTGTATAACAAATGGTGTATATATTGAGATCTAGATCTAGATCTAGCTGTGTTTACACTTTTTATGCAGGATGTGGGTTCTGATACAACATTTTTTATTTAGGTGTATTTCAAAAGAATGGGCTTCAAAGTACAGCCACCATAGATGTAATCCTAGAATATATGTCAACATTTTTTGCTTCTTTTACTTTGGCTCTGTGTTCAAGTTTTATAAAGTTACACCCATAGGCTATTTGTGTGAAAGGTGTTATGCAATATTGAATTATTGCAACAATTTTTTTTTTGCTAGTCTATTTTTATACTTCAATAAAGGCATCTAAAATGAACACCAATAAATGCAACTTTCATTTCTGAACACAGACATACCAAAAGTTTTGATGTGGGCCTAGTAGTTTGAAAGTTATTTATATAGAGACTTTTGTATCCCACCCTTCTGCTGTATAGGATCAGTCCCTGGGAGGATTCGGTCAGAATGAAAATCCTCTATGGACATGAAGAGTTAAGCAATTGAAGGAAAAGGACGTCACCCCAACTAAAGTTCAACAGACCGAAATGTACTCTATGTTTTTGTCTAGAAAGTTCATGTTAGTGTCAAAGTAATGGTCAAAGAAGTCACATGAGCAGTCACATATTTTCGCTGTTTTTGATGCTTCTGTTAGTTCTACTAGTTCTAGTGACTTAGAATATGATGTGTCTGATAGTCAGGACCCTAAATATATACCCGAAGCTGGCCCGATTCATACTTTTATAGCTAGATCTAGCACTAGGACTAGAAGTGGTGCTGTTAGCACAATGCAAACACAACATCTGCCTCATGTCATTCAGTGTATGGGTCTGCATGGACAGACAACCTAGCTTTTACTTTTTCACCAAACATTCTCACACGCTTGCAAAATCAAACCGAACCCATTGAATTTTATTTTTGTTTTTGTTGTGAATTTTATTCCATTTGTCGTATGTTTCTAGAAATTTTTTGGCGAATCAAATTCATGCCCATTTTTTAAAGAAATAATAAAGATAAAAGTGTTAGACCTAGACTGCTTTTGTTTGATTTAATCGATTAAAATTGAATTTAACTTTACTGTGTCAAAAAATGAATACAATAGGGTAATTTTGAGAGTAGTAGTAGTATTTTGAAATACTCCCACTTGGAGCTACAAATGCTGAAATTGAAACCCAGATAGAAGAGCATAGCGAACACGGAGATGCTGTGATCTTCACGGATAGATCAGTCAACAGAGGAGTCAAATCGGGCTGGGCCTTCAGTGTCAGAGTTGATGGGGTAGTAGTGAAAGAGCAAAGTGGAGCAACTGCACTGACAACATCAAGTATGTGAATGGAAATAAAAGCCATAAGTGAAGCTCTACACTGGATCAAGAACACGAGCAATCAGTGAGCAGTAATCATTACTGACTCAATGAGTACACTACAGAAGGTACAGAAAGGGATGCTGTATGTGGACTGGAAGGCTACAATCAGGGAGAGCAGCCTGGAAAGAGTGGCCTGGATCTTCTGCCCGGGTCACGCAGGGGTAACCGGCAACGAGAGAGCAGACAAACTGGATGGAGAAGCAAAAGTGGGAGGGAATTTGACATTGGACCCACCAACCGTCCTAACCGCTGTAAGGGAAAATTTGAGGAAGAATAGGGCGGATAGCGGTTCCCACACTCTAGGTAGATTGAAGGAGAAGGGGATCCAAAGAGGAGAGGGGAAACTCAGCCATCTGTGCGGACCAGTCTGACGGATCTCCATCCGGATTATGATGGAGACTGTAAGTAGACAGACTCTGGGATGGATCCTGAAGAGGGAGGGAGAGCAGAGATGGACATGTTCTGACTGCAGTGACCCCCAACACAGTGGACAAGTAAGACTCCAAAAAACCTGTGCTTCCAATATTCTGTATTTTTATGGAATTCCGAACTTTCTGACAGATCCGTACTTGCTTTTCAGTCATTATCAACTCCCCACCTTAAAAAAGTGAGATAGCATACGGCTACCGAAATTCCATGGTGGAGGATCTATACTCGCCTTCGTATCGTCTTGCACAGTTTACGGATATTAATGATAATTCTCTCAGCAATAAGTTAATGTTATAGAAACCTGCCAGATTGCGCATTTCCTGCTATCGGCCGTTGTCTTGCTATGCATTCATTATTGTAGGTTTGTTGACAATGCATTCTTACTTGCAAACTGATCGAAATCTGGCTTGCCATGATAACGAACTTTTTGTGCCAATTTCCTCCTTTCTTTCGTTCATTCATTATTTCTGTCTGCCTTCAAATTGCTGCCACGGCTGGAAAATCTGCCCATTGATCTAGTAAATTGACTTGTGATTTTAGACAGAAAATCACTGTCAGAAAGAAACTCTTTTACAAATTTGTCTAAATCTCAAGAAATTGTCAGTGCGATGATTCTATGGCTATGGAAACATGATAGGGTCACGGTAAAAGAAATACTACTAAAATCAAGAATGATTCGAAATGGTGTTCCTAGGTTGTGGCATTCAGCCTTCAAACATGAAAATGGAGGAAAATTAGGGTATACGCTGGGTAGCTATATTCTATTGTCAAGGTACATGTCTATTTATTATTCCCAGCTTTGCTTTCTGTCAGTGGCGCGATGACAAATTAATTGAATTATGAATTATAGTGGCTTAGCAGTGGCAAGGGGAACCTGCTTTTAAACATTGCCAGCAGTTTAAAGATATACATTTAGAGAAATCAAACGAGACAAAATCTTGGTGAAAAAATAGGTGATATGGGTTATTGATAATCTCTTCAAACAGGCTCCTAAATGCCATTTTTAACACTCTAAAAGCACTAAATTTCAATTTCATATATAATTTATGAAAAGGGCGCTTTTTCATCTAGGACAATATCTTTGCTTTACAGTAACCTTTGTCTGCTTATTTTGTATAAAAGTACGCTTGCTGTTAATAAACACATTCAAAAAGCAAACCCTGGGCCTGAGATATAATAGTCATTAGACACTTTTCGTCTTTGTACACAGTGAGAATGATTTTTAGCCCAGGAAATAAATGTACCTGCTTTACTGTTTTTGTTGTTTTCAGTGTCTCCAGCTTTCTGTTGTGTGGTGCAGTGTTAACTCATCCAGCAGTTTGATAGCAGTTTTTCTCTTTATTATCTAAACTGTGTAATACTTTGCAATATTACTCAAAGACTATTACTGGCTGACACAGTGGAACACCACATGTGCTGGGGTTAATGTGGACATTTCGAAATTGTTACTGATCTTTTTTGTTGTCCTGTAACACTATCCGCCCACGCAGCGCAGAGCGCGCAAAATTTATCCCCGTGGACCAGGTTACACATGCGGTACAAGCTATATCACACCTTCGCTGATCGGTGTCCCGTGGGGGCAAAGTGCTAAAATTATTTTTGCTCCATGTCCTTGATTTAGCTGACACTACTGAAACAAGAGATATTCTGGGTTCCATGAAAAATGTCAGATACGAAGCATATTCTCGACTATTGCTTGTAAAATAATTTGCTCCTCTTACATGTAAATTTATACACAATGAGATCTGGAAAAGAAGATTTGATTAGAGCTATAAACATTGTTCAATTTTCAAATTGCTATATTTTTCAGGGAAGGATTTCATTTGTGTGCAATCCATGGATGGAACGGTGTCCATATTTGAGCAGGAGAGCTTTGCCTTCAGCCGTTTCCTGCCAGGAGCACTGTTACCAGGACCAATTAAATATATGCCACGGCTAGACTCCTTTGTTACGGCATCCTGTTCATGGAGAGTAGAGGCCTACAAGTGAGGCTTGTTTGTGTTTTCAGTTTCCCCACCCCATACTCTCATGTGGCAGCTACTCTGCACTTGTATACTTTTCTTGTTTGAGTACACAGGACCCGTGATCTAGAATGAAAAAAAAAAATACATTAAGTTACTTATTCTGTGACTAAACCTGTTCCGACCAGGATTCGTATAGGCAGTTTTGTATGGGAGATAAGCATCTCATTTTCCAATAAACTTATTTGGTTTCTGTTCTGAGGATGCGACTTTTACATATCAGACAAACAAACCACGCTTGGAATAAATGTTCCTATGAGATAAAAGGCTCCTTGCTTGTTTTGTTCTTGTCTTTGATTAGACTTGTCCTTGATGGTACACTGGATGGTCTGCTTCATGAATTTCTTCTTTGATGTTTCTGTTGTCCAGTTGTTTGTTTGGTTTTTTTTACCCTTGAATGGTGATGATTGTGACTACCGCTGTTACACTGAAATCTTAATCTTTTGCTCAGATATCAAGTGTTGGCAGTGGCCTCTGAGACTGGGGGCCGAGAGGAGACTCAGAACATCAAGTCTGGCAAGAAAGTGGTGGTGAGTAACTCACACTTTCTTCTTCTTTTTTTTACACAGCGTCTTAGACAATTACAGCTAGCTGAAATGTCACAAAAAATACCTAAGACCCTCTGTGCACTTTTAAAGTAGTGAAAAACATGTGAAGAATTCCATCATTTTTGCAGATTGTGGCCTAGTTATTGTGAACCCTTGCGTGTAAGAAAATTAATAATTTTGTGCCAGTCTGGTCAGTGTATAAATACTGTGCAATGTAGCATTGTCAAATATAACCATATCTGTTTTTACCTGAAAGAGGTGCTTTGATAATCAAAACGTTGCTTAAAAAAAAAGATTTGTGGTATATTCTAAATGATTTTATTAAAAGAAAATATTTTAAGAAGCAAGTTTGTTTATTCTTGTGCAGAAAATTTTGTGACCAAATTGACTCGTATATTTTTCTTTATATCACATGTTTCAATTCGTCAATGTAATATGTGAGTGCATAATAGTGAAATCAGGCGCTCGTCCAAGTACAGAAATCGAAGAAACAGGAATTTTTCATACATTTTGGCAATTTTTATCAATTTTTTGTTATTTGTCTCTACACCTGGTGTGTCCGCATAAAACACATTTCCTAGAGAATTTTACTGAAAACGTTGAATAAAGGCATAAAATATGTGTTTTTTCAATTTGCAACGACTCTCAAGCTATTGAAGTTACCAAACTTTGGCAGCCATTTTTTCGCAAATTTTACGAATGAAAGCAGGCAACTTCACCTGCTTCCTTTGCAAATATCTCGACTTCTATTCAAGATAGATGGATATTTTTTTCATTGAAAGCAAAGTAAATGAATAAGCTTTCAGATTGTACCAGTAACTCCACATGCCCTAAAATTGACAAGCGCCTGATTCCACTGCATCACGACATATATCACACTTCATGTAGTATACTTTATTAAAATTTCCTAGATGCATTATGTCCGATCGCATTATAGAGGGCCCATTATTTGAAAACTGAGATTATCATATCCTGCTCAGTGATAGTGGCTGTCCACCCATGTATAAAGCCCCTGATACAGGTAAGCCTATTGCTTGAGATTGATTTTGACCTCGGGGGAACAATTGTCAAAGGGGCTCAAAGTCCTTTTGTATCCTCTATTTTGTCATTGTTGTCTACAGGCTGACTGGGTCTACAACATTGGAGAACAAGCCCTTGATCTGGCTTACCTGGAGTACACGAATGTCGCTCCAAGTGTACTGGTTCTTGGTATGTCTATGACTGATTTTTGCACTGTATGTTTTTTGTTTTTTTTATATATCTGATTGGTTGAGTCCAGAAGGTGGTATGGTAGAAAACGCAGCTGAGGGCAAAATGGCACTTTCTGTTTTCTGGACAGCTTTCTCAGAAATGGGATAATTCAGACCTGCCTCTAATTCCGATTTAATCAGCATGTCCTGATTTTTCGCCCCAATCTCAAGCATCCCAATTTTCCTGATTTCGATCATGTGTATCCTGAATGTTTTGTTCTGTCTGTTCCGCAGGATTTTAAAAAAAAATTCACGCCCTTATTCTCTGTCGCTGAAAGCACCCTTTAAAGTTTTTGTCAGTAGGAACTTGGAGCACTATTTTCCGAAATATCAATGCTGGATTTTAGTAGTTGACTCGCCCCTAGTTGTGTTTGAACTTTGCTCACACATTTAAAAAAAACTATAATGGAAGTAGTATCGATTTTGCATTCCGACTTGGGACATTCTCAAGATCTACTTTAGTTTTTGTTTCCACTCAGAATTCTCCCATGATGGCCTAATATCTGTTTCAATTGCGACATACAAATGATTATTCGTAGTTCTACAGAAACTTGCAAAGCAGGCTTTGTCTCAGTTCTGGTTAGTAGGGCCAGTCATCAAGACCCGTCAGTAAAACCATTTCAATCGCACGTTCAGATCACGTGACATGACTCCACGTGTCGGGGGCCGTCCGTTGACGAGGTTAACTTAAGTTCATGCACTCGCGTTAAAGTGTCTTTCGGGACCTATTGTTATGTACCTCTCATTAAATGTTGTAATAAATGTATTTTTATAAACCCTGCTTTAGTCAGCTTCGCTTAATTTGTCTCCCTTTTTCTTAAATTCTTGAGTTTTGTGCTTGTTTTTGCTGATGTTTGCTCTGAGTATATTGCTTTCAGTTTGGAAAAAATTGTTGCAGAGATTGGCAATTCAAAACACTTTAAGTGAGTAGATTGAACTTTTCTTAATTTAACGATCATGCCTGGGTACCTGAGATTACGGACACTTTAATACATAACAAGATGGCTGTTGCCCTTGAGACATACATTTCTGAAATCTACAGGGTCAAAGCAAAATTTTGATACCTTATCCAATACTGTACATTCGTTTTGAAAAATTGCCAAAATAGGCCATCTGAAGTAGATCCAAGCATTGCCTGTGTGTTTTCTGCCATATGCTGCAAGTCTCCAACACTGGAGATTGATTCTTCATTCATAAAACTGGATGTACGTGGTGATTGATATGTTACAATGCTGGATATTGATTTATTGAGGTTCTCAACTTGTCCCCCAGGACAGAGTTTCGAAGTGTTGTTGGTTTTTTAAAAATATATTCTGTAGAAGACTCAAATTAAATTAGTTGATGCAAATGTTTTTATGAAGACTCTTTATCGTCCTTTCAAACACTGCCATTATTTGTTTTGAATATTTTCCAGATACTGCTTGTACATAGTATGGTTTTTTTTTCTTACTGTTTACAGGAGAACGCAGCATTTTCTGTATTGCCGATAATGGAACATTGAGGTTTGCCAAGAAACTTGAGTACGACCCTTGCTGCTTTCTGCCCTATGGTTCTTGTAAGTGTGCCTCTGCAGACAATTCAACCATATCCCTCTCATCTTCATAAATGTACAGTATGAACACCTTGGAGAAGACGTGTTACCTGTGTGCTCACAAGTACTCGATTTCCTTATAATTCTTTTTTCTATTGCTGATGGATCTGTATGTGGTTATTTGGTTCTCCAGTATAAGATAAGATTACATTTCATTGGTCTTTACCTACAGAAATTTGCTGCAGAATGGTAAATACGCACACACACACACACACACACACACACACACACACACACACACACTTACATACACAGACACCCGCACGAATGAGTAGTCATCGGACTGGTTACCTGGAAAGTTTTTGGACTTAATAGAAAATTTTGAAATTTATTTTTCAGTTCCTGATGAAAAGTGTCTTCTATCGTAGCCACAGACTGTTATCTGGAGTAATTCAATGAATGGCTTGCTCATGAATGAATTGTAAAATATGAAAAAAATGTTGGCTTGCCAGGATGACTGTTATGAAGTCTGTTGTGGAAATAATCAGAGCTGATAAAAAATTTCTTGGCTGTTAACTTTCCAGTGTCGGAGAACTCTGTGAACTACCTGGTGGGGACTCACACCAAGTCTCTGATGGTCTACCAGGACTACACGCTCAAGTGGGTCGCCAAAATGGAGTTTGTTCCTGTGCAAGTCAGAGTCGGAAACTTCCAGTGAGTATCTCTGGTCTCATATAGCAAGGGATCCATTTTCCAGATATGGGCACCAAAGTTATTTTAGATATCCTTGCAGTGTTGAAATGGCACACAAGTCGAGAAACCCAGAAATGAGAAGACATGGCATGAGGGGGGTGGGGTATGATGAAGAGGTGGTAATGACTAAGGATCCCTGTTCCCAAGTTCTAAAGGTGAAATCTCTTAAGGTCAAGTCTCTCTTGCAGAAATCATTGTATCTTTGTGGAGGTGAACCTTTTTTGTTCCTTCCATTTATAAGTACTGGCAATATATGTTCCTCTTTATACTTCTCAACTTGTTATAGCTCTATGTGATTGTTGATTGGATTTTCCTGCTGAAAAATTATTTTCTCATGAAAAGAAATTGTTATAGACTTGAGAACAGAGACCAAAGTCTTGGAAAAGTTTATAAGTTTGATTGTCATATATTTCTTTACTGAATTGTCTGGGTCTCTCTCTCAGGAGTTTACGTGGTGGCATTGTAGGACTTAGTGAGTCTGGCCGGCTGGAAACTATGTACCTTGGCACCGACCCGTCAGTGTTCAGCCCTCCGCAGGTCGAGTCTCGAGACCTCAACTACGCCAGCATGGACGCCGAGATGTCCAGACTTATGAAACACGTCAAAGCCAAGAGTGCAAACAATGGTGAGCTCCAGTGAAGTTGGGGATTTATTATTTGGATAACAAGAATAGAGATCTTACCGCAAGGTGTAAGAGAATGGTACTGAGTAGAAAAACCAACTGAGGTTTAAGTATAGGAAGTTGTTAGCCCCTTGCGTTACCCACACTGTGCAGTCCCCTAGCACTGCTTTGTGCACTGGGAGACTGCAAAGAAACACACACACACACCCAAAGCAATCGGTGATGAAACCAACTTCGCGTCGCCAAGTGACATAGCCCATCACGAGCTAAACGGCAAAGCGGGCCCGACTCGGCATGGGACAAAAACCCAAAGAAGGATTGCAATATCTTGGTAGTAGAGAATCTTTGATAATACTAATACTAAGCCTACTACTAGATCTAGATCGAAACTAGATCTAGCCCTAGATATTACAGATCCAGACTGCAGATTTTTAAATTGAAGACCTACCATGTAGTGTAGTCTACAGTTTATGTCATAAGTACTACTAGATCTAGATAGATCCTAGATCAACAAACCTGTCGACATAAATGACAAATTCGCCTTTACTCACTTACGACTGGGCCCTTTCACCAGTCACAAGCGTTGAAGACTGGCGTTTCGGGGGGGGTATTTCAATAAATCACAACAACTCTCAGAATTACCCTATTGTAATTATGTTTTGACACAGTAAAGTAACATTCAAGCTTAATCTAATACAAAAAACTAAAGTTGTCCAAGTCTAATACTTTAATTTGTATGATTTTTTAAAAATTGGCATGAATTTGATTTTCCGAAAAATTTCCAGAGACGTGACAGGTAGTATGAAATTCACTACAACAACTAAAATAAAAGTTCAGTGTTCTGGTTTGATTTGAATCCATGTGCGAGTGTTTGGTGAAAATATAAAAGCTGGTCTGTGCATTGATTCAGACCCATACACTGAATTACATGAGACAGATGTACGGCACGACGTTGTGATTTCGTTACGCGAAAAACAACACCAGTACTAGTGCTAGATCTAGCCCTAGAACTACGACTCGGGCTGTGTTCGGGTACATATCCAGGATCCTTACTATTAAACACATCATATTCTGAGACACTAGAACTTGTAAAACGTACAGAAGTATAGAAAACGGCGAAATTATGTGATTCTTGTTCATGCGACTTCTTCGACCGTTACTACGACGCGACTGTCGGATTACTATCAGCTGTATAGAAAAAAACAAAGTGCGAGTTTCGGTCTGTTCAACCCCAGTTGGGGTCACTGTCCTTCACCTTCAATAACTTAAAAAGTACCGGCCTCAAAGATACGAAACGAAGTCTAAGTAGCTCAGGCTTGGCCAAACAAGGGTACGAGGCGGATCTCGCGATCCGTGCGTGATTTGTAGAGCGAAAAAAAAATTCCAAAGTTGGTCATGCAGGGCTTGTGGGAGCCGTCGCGGCGGAGGTCATGCAACTGTTGCGTGAACCGTCTGAAGTGAGTTAAATAAATAGATATTGGCTCCAGATCGAGATTCTCCCACCATACTAATTAACTTAACTATATCAAGATAGGCCTATGTATCATTAGGATCTAGATCTACAATGTAAGAACTGTTAAAATATAGTCTACGTCAATTCTACTGGATCAACAAACCTTTCAACATTCGCCTTTCACACACAGAAAAAAACAGTGGGTGGCTCTGCCATACTCATTAACTTTTTCAAACAGAATAGCATAACTGCCAAAAACATCGCCAACAGTCGAATCAGACGTCATGTTGCCAATTTGTCTTGGGAGTCATGGGAGGAAATTTAAATGTTGTTGATGTCTGATAATGGCTTGTTGACCTCAATCCAAAGATCAAAGGTTGTTTGTTTGCAGTCCCTCAGTGCACAAAGCAGCGCTAGGGGACTGCACAGTCCCCCAGTGGGTAGTGCTGAGTTCCCTAACAACTTCCTTAAATATATGCCATATGTTAGTCATAGTGTTCTTTCTTCTTTTTTCTTACCACTCAATTATCTCAGTAGTTTTGGATTGTAAAATCGGAGATTCTGTTTCATAACTGTATTGTGTTGAAATAAGGGTTTTGACTAGAGAGTAACACTTTGCTGTGCTTATTATGATATGTGTACACACTGTACAATCTAGATTGTGTGTACAAATGGCAACGTACATAGTCAGGCAGGCAGATATTTTGGGTTGTAAGGCATTGATTATGAGAAACATAAATATGAAGAGGGGACAGGAGAGAAAGAGACAGACAGACAGACAGAAGTATGTATTGTTTGTGTGCATGTGTGCCTTAATGCATGTGTGCATGCATGCGTGTTTCGTTAAGCACAAGCATATGAATGTATCTGTTGCTATGTCCTCAGTGATCACGCCAAGCTTGAAGACAGATGAAGACTTGACCTTGAATGTTCACGTCAGTCCTAACCTGGATGATGTCACGGTGAGTGCCACTTGCCAGACTAACTTGTATTTCACGATTATGTCTACTGGAAACGGAGTGCTCATTATTCCCTACAGTTGTCAGTGCCTGTTACAGTATATAAGTCCTAGCAGTTTGTTCACGAGTACATTTTAAAAAATACTGGCAAATGACTGGGTCATGAAAGAAGCTACCAGAGGCAAGCGCAATGGAATACAGTGGATCCCCTGGCTGCAGCTGGACAACTTGGACTTCGCTGATGACTTTGCACTGCTCTCTCATACACATATGCTCAGATGCAAGAACAGACCAAGGAACTCAACAGCCTATCAAGGAGTGTTGGCCTAAGTATACATCCGGGTATGTCGAAAGTAGTGAAACTAGGAAAAGTTTCAAGTCGTGCGGTGACAGTGGAAGACATTCCCTTGGAAGAAGTGAACTAATTTACCTACCTTGGAAGTGTCATCGATGGTAAAGGTGGAACCAAGGCAGATGTAAAAGCAAGAACTGCCAAGGTGAAGTCAGCATTCAACCAATTATCAAATGTCTGGAAAGCAAGCAACATCTCACTGCGCACCAATATTCGACTCTTTAATTCCAATGTCAAGTCTGTGCCGAAACTTGGAAGACAACACAGACAGCGCTGAATAAAGTCCTGACTTTCATCAACAGATGTATGAGGAGTATCCTAAGAATTAAGTGGCAGGATGGAATAAGAAATGAAGAGCTGTGAGAAAGAACAGGACAGAAGGATATAGAAGTAAAAATAGGACCAAGAAAGTTGCAATGGATGGGACACGCCTTCAGAAAGCACAGCGGAAACATTTCAAGACAGTCGCTGCAGTGGAACCCACAGGGAGCACGAGGCAAGGGTAGGCCACGGGAAACATGGAGGAGATCTTTGGAAAGGGACATGAGAGAGATGAAGCTCATTTGGAACGAGCTAGGAAGGATTATACTTTTTTTAAAAAAGATTTTACTCCTTTTTTGCTAAGAAAATACACATATTTATAAAGCAATCGTTGGGGAGAAATTTTGAGACTTGCTTCTATGCTAAGCTGAGCAAGCTTTATGAGGCTGATCAGCAGCTTTACAGAGAGATTTTCGTGCAGAGCACTTCTTCCATACTTGACACGTTCATCTAGTTTTCTGCTTTGCCAAAAGACTTTAGGTTTAAAATTAATGGAAAACCAGTCATCTTACTTGTTGACACTCCTGGAGTTTAGGAAACTGGCTAACAAAAAAGTGTGAACTGAAAGTCCTCACTTCTATAGCTACAACCTTCCTTAATGATTGATAACAGCAAAGATATTGAAGATAGTTTTTGCCTGTATTGTTCCCGGGTGCCTGTATATCTCGGTTCTCTTATTCTGTTAAGAGTTTGTGGTTTTCTCACTCTCTGCTATAAGACTAAAGAGATGGTCGAGGGACATTGGGAAGGCAGAAATCTGAAGAAATTGTGTTGTTAAAAGGAAAATATTGAAACTTTTATGAATTTTGTTACGATTATTTCTGTCCTGATAAACACTGTTTACATTCAGGCACTCTACTTTGTACTATTATGCTAATATTCATCTTGTGTCTTCCCTCTTGCATCCAGATGGCGTCAGGTCTGGAGATACAGGGAGAAGATGTTCCCTCCACCACACTTAGAGTGAGTACATAAAATGCTTTGATGGGAACAAAAAGATAAATGGTCGTTTTTAAGGACAAGCGGATTGGGGGTTTCCAGAAATCTTGACCTGCACCAAAATTGGGCATGCTCTACCTATCGGAGAAGTTTGGTTTCATTGGTGTATATATATGAATCGTTATAGAGAAAACTTTCCTTGTCTTTTAAAGAAACTGAACAAGGGTCCAAAGACTTTTCCTTCGATTTTCTCAAAACATTATTTTTTGGGATAGCTCCCTTGTGATTTAAAGTGGCCTAATGTATGTGTGTCTGGAGAAAGATCCCTTTTATTGGAAATTATTTTATATTGAAATAAAGGCATATTGTTGTAACAAATTCAATGCTGAACAGGTAAATTAAAAATTTTTTCAAATATCTAGAGTAGTTTCAAGATATGCCACATTTTATAACACAGAGTGTAAAAACAAAGTTTAGGGAAAACCCAATTTCTTGCCCTCAAAATGTTATAAAATCCTTTAAATATGTTGTCTAGAAATGGTTAAACTTGTGTTTTCCTCTGGAACAAATTTTGTGACCCTGTACAACTTTTTGGGTTGTTTTTTTTCTCTGCGTTGCTCAAATATAGCTTTGCCGTCAATTGGGACCTTTTTTCAGGCACACCACTATGAAAATTAATTATTGCATGAAAAAAAACCACCTAACCGTATAAATAATTGTTTGACTTTGCATCTGTCATAACATGCACAGTCCAGTTGTTTTTCCTCTGACCAAGCTCTGAGCGTTTGCCAGGTGGTTTGTGTGTACTGTGGTGTCCTCTGTCCTTTATATAACTCAGTGTTGCTTTTGCTCTAGTTTGTGTCCAATGGCTCGGTCCACTTTTAATTAGAACAAGCAATATACTAAAACGCTTCTACAATTACGGTCAAACCTGCCTCAACCCACCCAGCCTTAACGCCGATAATATCGGTATGCGTTTGCAACCCTCCAACCCTAAAGTCGGCAGTATCGGTGACAGAAAAGACTACTTTTGTGTGAAGCAGACTATAGCCTAATTGGAAGCCTAACCATTTTTGTTTGAAACAGACTATGACCAGAAGTGCAAGTCCAAATTTAGAACAAAAGAAAGCTATATTTGTGAACCATGTGAGGGGGTGCGAAATTTGAACGTACTTCCTTTCTTTGCTTTTTTTTTACTCTTTGACTCTGTATATAGACCTTTTTCCACAAAGTATTGCATAAATACTATGACAGATTTTGCCTTTAAATTTTCAATGCACACAAATAAAGGTTTGAATAAAATGTTTACCAAATATGGGTAGGATATGCTAAAATGTAGTATTATTTTTCTATTTTTCTAAAAGTGGTGAAAATCTCTAGGGAGAGCCGACAACCTGGAAGTCTAGGCCTAGGGTTGAGTGAGTTAATGGTCATATGCCCAAGACAGTCACCTGTACAAAATGCCATGTCCCACTTCCCCTTGCATTTTTTTTTACATTATAATGATGCTGTCAGCCACCTGTCTTAGACAATCCTTTTTCTCCTAAAACTTGAGAAAAAATGAATGGCCATTTTCGACAATTTTGACTATACTTTTAATTTCTTCTTCAGATACAAATGAAGTCCCGGCTGTTGTTGGACACTGTGAGGCTGGAGATTCACTGTCCTTGGCCTCTGGCCTGCAATCAGTCGCAGTTCACCGTCTCCTCGCTAGGTGAGTTCTTACTGGAGTTTTAAATATTTTTGCTTCTTCCTCGATAGTACATGGTGTTTATTGAAAATTGTTGTAGTCATTAAAAATGTCATGGAAAATTCTGTAAGCCACTAGAATGTCTTGTCATTTTCTCAAAGGTCCCATAGTACGAGATATATGCATGTGTACAAACCATTGTAAGATGCATTTTTTAAACAAGTGAATGAAGTAATCTTTTCCTTCTCTTTTGTTTAGACTGAGTGTTGACTTTAAGTTTTTTTACTTCACCTTTTTTTTATGCACAACCCAATCAGAAGGTGCATGAAGTAGAATAAAGTTACAGACATATTGAGAGAGCTGGGGGACTTCAAGAACACTGCTACTTGGTGCATTATTTTCAGATAAAAACCCTGCCTCAAAGACACTTACACTGGACAGATCAACTCCTATGTTCAAGAAAATCTTTTTGTAAGGATCTAGCCTAAATGTGTCTTTTCCAGTCGTAATTTTCCAGTTTATGCAATTTAGGGTTCTTTCTGTCAGAGATATGACAGTACTTTGAAGCTAGTCAAAGTCAGTCACTCTACAGGAGGTTTTTGTTTTGATGTTAATATTTCATAACTCTGAATACTCTCATGTTTTGGGTGTGAGGTTTGTCGGCAGTTTGTGAATACAACAAGTGAGATATTAGTTACACGTTTTGTTCCATTCTCAGAACCCAACAGTCCCACAGAAACATTTGTGGCCGTGTTCCAGCGGTTCCCTGGCCTTCCGTCTCACATGCATGTACAGATCTCTGCCACATACACCTCAGCCTCTGGTAAGTACAGTGAATGGCGGGATCATCTTGTACTGAAAAGTAGTAATTCTTATGTGGGTAGTTATGGTACCGTGAAACAATTTAACCCTCTCCGTACACCCTGGGGTCATTTTGTACCCCCCGGGGTTGTATTCTTCACATTTTAGAATGCTTCTAGTACAGAGATCTCTTTGAAACTTTCAGTATTTCTTAAAAAATCATTTTAATAGACTGCTCTGCAAAATGTACGGATCAGATTAACGAGTAAATTTCCTCTTTGGAAAGTGGTGCACAGAGTTCCCTACTTCGTATGGATGCGATAGTAAGACATGACGTACAGATAGGGTTAAAGAGTGTAGGCTTTTCAATCAAAAGGTTGTGGGTGCAGTGCCTGTGGCATAACTTCTTATGAAAGGTTCTTTACTGTTTCCCCAAAAGTTCATCCCCCCATAACATTAAAGCCAGTTCCTCTTGATGTAATTGTGTTCATTGTTTTATATATATATATATATATATATATATATATATATATATATATATATATATATATATAATCTGATATTATGACTTTGGTGTCCCTTATAGGGTTTTACAGAAGTTGACAAGCTTGCTTCTATAAATACACTCTTTCCCCCATTTTTTAATACTTTCTTTAAAATTTAGTTTCCCCTATGTTTGTTCCAGTCTCATCAAAGTAAAAATGTATTTCGAATACATTTTATTGAAATATTAAATATCTTGATGCGACTCAATTGCTGTGCTTAACAGGTGGCCGGCGTGTGACCAGCGCACGAGCCAACCTGCCTTTCAAGCTGGTGGTCAAGCCCGTGTTCCCTGTGAAAACAGCCGTTCATAAACTGACCATCGACACCAATAGGCCCCCTGTTAGTCTCAATGACATTTTCCCAGGTAAGTCCCACGTCAAAGGTCAGGTTACACTTTATCACACAATGAGTTCAAGGAACATAAAGGTAGGAGCCCCCCTCCCGGGGCTGTGCCACTGACTGAAGTGTCTTTAGCAGAGCTGCGTAAATCTACCGATTTTTCCGTTAGATACCAATTTTGGGCTTGTTCTAGCGTCACACCGATAAGGTGTCAAAACTACCGGATTTTCTATGGGTGCCGAAAGAAGAAAAAAACCCCGTTCTGCAGTGCTTTCATTCTTCTTTGTTTTTGTGTCAATTCGTACATTCCGAAAGTTCCGTACTTGCTGCATCATCATATCAACCCCATGCATTAGAGAGAGAGAGAGAACGCGAGATATCAGCACTTGCCTCCGTAACTTGTCAGAATTGACGGCAACTCTCGGCTATAAGTTGTATTAGAAACTGCCAGATCGCGCATTTCGTACACTTGACCATTGTCTATCTGTGCGTTCGGTCAGCAATAGTTTTTCATGTGCATATCGGCTAAAATCTGTCTACTCACGATAGATAATCTTCCTCCTTTCTTTCATCCATTCTTTCTTTCTGTCTATCTTCGGGTTTTTGCTGTGGCTGGAATATCTGTCCGTTTAATTCAAAACCAAATCTGAAAAGGATACTGAGTTCATATTTTACCGGTCGCGTTTGTAATACATGTATTTCGTTCGGCGTTCCCCAGTCCGAGAGTACGTTACACGCGAATAAGCGGCTATGGCGGCAGGCAGAAGTGTAAGTTTTAATATCAATACTGAGACTCGGTCAAGAAAATCAAAATCTACTTTCACTTTCGTAACCTTTCAGATTATTGTCCGGTGATAGTTTGACGTAACGTTAGATTTACAGTTACAGTTAATAAAAATTTGTAACATGCAGTCTGTGCTCAAAAAACAGTGTCGCCATACAAATTAGATTGATATTCTCACTGCTGTCACTATAATGACAAAAAAGAAAACTAGCATCGTCCGATTTCTAGATTGTGGGGCCCGTCATCGTGACCATTCAATGAACCTACAGTAGTGCGCGTTGGCATCGTGTGGGTACGCCATAAGTAAGGGACCGGCTGGCGGTTGTTGGCGTAATTGAAGTTCATTCAAAGTAGGAGCGTTGCTGCAGGGCTCCGGAATTGAGGGGAGGTGTTTGACACAATAAAATCTACGGCAGCAGGATAAGGCCGCGGTGCAAGAAACTGATGCTAAAATAAAAACGATAAGTGGAAGTGGTTTTGACATTCAACATTCGAGTGCGTAAATGAGGGAACATTAGAGTACAGGCTTGATGATTGTATCTTCAAGGTTGGTGTTCCCGGATTTGTCGGATTTGTCCATGATGACAAATTGAATAGTGATGAGGAAATGTCATTTTCAACCATCGGAAAGCTCTATGTTGGATGCCTATGCATCATGATGGCTGGTTGCTGATTAAAAACTGGTACTGTGATTTAGCATTTTGAAAAAAATCAGTACTTAATCCATGATGCAGTGATTCACTGATTGCCAGGTTTTCAGCATCCTTAGCATACATCCCACGCTCTCACTGTCCTTCCAGCTCCGGCTCTCAGTACATGCTCTGTTCCATTGTCACTTTTTGCTTTGCCGTGTGCCTAACTATAAAGGTTTTAATATTAAGTTTTGTCTCGCATGCTTTTTCAAACATGATGGTTTTGGCAGTTGATGTTCTTCTTGCCTCTCCACAGGCCCAGATCAGGATTCATTTTGTATTTTTTTCGGGCAAAACTAGTTAAAATTGTCTCTAAGTAACAAAAGACATTATCAGTATCCTATGCTAGTGTCGGAAAATATGTTTGAATGTACTTTCTATTTGTATGGGCTAGGGGTTTTGAAGTCAGTTTGGCAGTCACCCTGCACTCAATTCCAGATTCAATACTGAATGATAGGAGGTGCCTTGAACGATAGTACATAATATAAATGTTTAAAAAAAACAAAAAAAACTCTCCACATTTCTTACACACTGTTAATCTTAACTTGTGCGCACCCAAACACCCCCTTCCCCTCCCCACTTATAAACACACGCTTGAGCATACACGCATTCACATACGCACACGCACACACACACACACGCACACGTGTATGCACAAACAAGTTTTCAAATTATAATTACCCAATATCACGAAAATCAAGCGTGTTCGATGGGGCAACTATCATCTTTTTTTCCATCTTTGTCTTTGTACTACCTGATTTGGGGCCAAACTACCTGAAACTAACCCTGAATCTACCTGAAATGGGAATTTTGAGGTAGGCATCCCTGCTTTAGGCCATTCCCAAAGGGGAGACATTAACCATGTTCTTATGCACTGTAGAATTGTAATTGTAAATGGGCTGATTCATCAATGTCATGCTCATAACTGTGCCTGAACTGCAACTGGGAACTGCTGCTTTTTCTTTCCTAATCCTTACTATCGTCATTTTCCTCTACTTCTTTTGTATGTTTGTCACACTCTTTTGACCCGCTGTTTCCCGGATGCCTTGATAGTCGACGCAGACTTTGTGATGTTGAAACTAGAGAGGTGAGCAGAGTAAGCCCGATTCCCTGTAAGGACTTCTCTGTTGACATCCACCCCTAGGCGCTCATATGACCTTATGCAGTTGCGAGCGCTGTAAAACCTCTATTAAAACAAACTAAGGCTGACTAGTCAAATAACAATCTTTGTGTTATGTACTATGTTTACGGGGTTAGGAGATCTCATCCTCTGAGTCAAGTTCAGCTCTCAAACAAATTTTATTTAATCTTTTCGTTTTGAGTGAAGGCAAGTTGCAGAAAATATTTTCAGAAAAAGTAAAAAATCAATGTAGTCTAGAACTATGGTGGTGGCTTTGCTTGTATCAGCGCCGCACCAACCATATCAAGAGGTCTGACAAGCTCCAGAATACAGAAGAGTTGGTCGAGAAAGCCGGCTATACCCGTAGAGTTTCACTTCAAACGGTATTAATTTAACTCAGAGTTAATAGTGCCTCTGCTTATGACCAAAAACTCCCTGTTTAGCCTAAGTCAACGTCAAATTTCAAAACCTTAAGTTTTTGTTGTTGCCATCTTGAACTGCCCTTGGATCAACTCTTTTTGTGTGTTCCCTTGTTGTCAGATTTGCTGGGTGAGAATGCTTCAGGTCAGGGAGCAGCTCTGGGCTTTCAGTACTTCGGTGGAGGTCCCATCGTCACCATGTTGGCCTCTAAAACTTCACGTGAGTACATGGCTATATATAGGTTTATTTGCTACCTCATGGTCAGAATTGTCTTTCTCTATGTCTGCATCTGTCTGTTTCTGTCTCAGTCTCTCTCTCACTCTGTTTCTCTCTTTTGCTCTGTATCTCTCTTTCACTCTGTCTGTCTCTCTGTCTCTGTCTCTGTCTCTCTCTCTCTCTCTCTCTCTCTCTTTCTCTC